CCATCCCAGTCTCTCTCAGTCCCCTCCCACTCCCTCCTAGTCCCTCCTAGCACCATCCCAGTCCCTCCCAGTCCCTCCCAGTGGCTGCCACGGCCCCGCTGTCCCCGCAGCCACCAACCTGTGCTTCGCGGAGCGGAACGTTTACACGTCCGAGGTTCTGGCCGTGGTGATGCAGCAGCTGATGGAGCAGAGCCCGCTGCCCATGCTGCTGATGCGCACGGTGATCCAGGCCCTGACCATGTACCCCCGCCTGGGGGGCTTCGTCATGAACATCCTGTCCAGGCTCATCATGAAACAGGTGTGGGGGACCCCGAAACCCCAAAAAAATCCCGTTGAAAATGCCCGAAATCCCGCTGAAATTGCCCCAAAATTCACCCCAAAACTGGCCCCGAAATCCCCCCGAAATTCCCGATATGCTCGGCGATCCCGGCCCTGATGTTGTACCTGTCCCACCTGGGGGGGCTTCGTCATGAACATCCTGTCCAGGCTCATCATGAAACAGGTGTGGGGGACCCGGAAACCCCAAAAAAATCCCGCTGAAAATACCCAAAATCCCGCTGAAAATGCCCAAAATCCCGCTGAAATTGCCCCAAAATTCACCCCAAAATCCCCTCGAAATCCCTGACACCCACGGCGATCCCGGCCCTGATCATTTACCTGTCCCACCTGGGGGGGCTTCGTCATGAACATCCTGTCCAGGCTCATCATGAAACAGGTGTGGGGGACCCCGAAACCCCCAAAAAATCCCGCTGAAATTACCCCAAAATCCCGCTGAAATTACCCCAAATCTGATACCAAGGTGTATCCCAGGTGATCTCAGTGATACCCAGGTGTATCCCAGGTAACCCCAGGTGATCTCACTGATACCCAGGTGTATCCCAGGTGTATCCCAGGTGATCTCACTGATGCCCAGGTGTACCCCAGGTGACCTCAGGTGTATCCTAGGTGATCTCAGTGATACCCAGGTGTATCTTAGGTGACCCCAGGTGTATCCCAGGTGATCTCAGTGATGCCCAGGTGTATCCCAGGTGTATCCCAGGTGACCCCAGGTGTATCCTAGGTGATCTCAGTGATACCCAGGTGTATCTTAGGTGACCCCAGGTGTATCCCAGATGTATCCCAGGTGATCTCACTGATACCCAGGTGTACCCCAGGTGACCCCAGGTGTGTCTCGGCAGGTGTGGAAGTACCCCAAGGTGTGGGAGGGTTTCATCAAGTGCTGCCAGCGCACGAAGCCGCAGTCGTTCCAGGTGATCCTGCAGCTGCCCCCCCCCCAGCTCGCCGCCGTCTTCGAGAAGTGCCCCGAGCTCCGGGAGCCCCTCCTGAGCCACGTGAGGGCCCTCACCCCCCACCAGGTGAGACCTGGGCACAGGTGACACCCCCTGCGACAGGTGACAACACCTGGGGACGGGGGACAACACCTGGGGATGGGGGACAACCCCCTGGGACACCCCCTGGGACAGGTGACAACACCTGGGGATGGGAGATACCCCCCCCCCCCGGACATCCCCAGGGACAGGTGACATCCCTCGGGGACAGGTGACACCTCAGGTGTGTCACCTTCGCCCCCTGCCGTGTGTCCCCGTGTCACAGCAAGCGCACATCCCGCTGTCCACCATGGCCATCCTGGAGGCCACCACGCGCCACGAGCCCGAGGGGACACCTGGAGAGGTGGGGACACCTGGAGAGGTGGGGACACCTGGACAGGGGTGGGGACACCTGGAGAGGGGAGGGACACCTGGAGAGGGGAGGGACAGGGTGACCCCAGACCCTTTGGGGACACCTGGAGGGGTGGGGACAGGGGGGGACAAGGTGACCCCGGACCCTTTGGGGACACCTGGGGACACCTGGAGGGGTTGGGATGGGGGACAAGGTGACCCCAGA